CTAACACTGCACATCACTCTGAACACACCATCACCACTGTCAAAGATGGTGGTGGCAGCATCATGCTCTGGGAGTGCTTCTCTTCAGCAGGGACAGGGAAGCCGGTCAGAGTTGATGGGAAGATGGATGGAGCCAAATACAGGGCAATCTTGGAAGAAAACCTCTTGGAGTCTGCAAAAGACTTGAGACTGGGGCGGAGGTTCACCTTCCAGCAGGACAACGACCCTAAACATAAAGCCAGGGCAGCAATGGAATGCTTTAAAACAAACATATCCACGTGTTAGAACGGCCCAGTCAAAGTCCAGATCTAAATCCAATCGAGAATCTGTGGCAAGCTCTGAAAACTGCTGTTCACAAACGCTGTCCATCTATGGTCTTTCACGTGGAATTCCAATAAAATTGATTCATGTTTGTGGCTGTAATGTGACAAAATGTGGAAAAGTTCAAGGGGCTGAATACTTTTGCAAGCTACTGTACATTGAACGTGTTTGCCTGATCAAGAAAATAAGCTCATATTTTCTTCAATTTGACAGTCACGTTTTCAGCTTTCTAGTCTCCTTTTCTGTTTCCTTTTTGTGTTTTCTTCATACAAACACACAAATTCTGTCTAAACAGAAACAAGCTCAAACTGTTGTTTCCTTGGAAACTGTTTGAAAAGATGATTCTAGCAAGAAATGCTAAAATACTGCCAGACTTACAACTTCCAGCTTGCTCTTGGGGACTCTGCAGATGCAGTTGGTTCCAAAGTTGGTGTCTCGTGTTTGGATGCAACGCAGGCAGCACAGGTTCTCGTAGCCCTGCTTCTTCCACTTGGCAATGAGGTTCTTGTCTGCGTAGCCTTCCTTTATACAGTACTCGTATAGCTCTGCAAGGAAGAAACACAGTACAGGTTTGATATCTTGTACATTCCAGAACAGGAAATGTTAAGATAAGATACCTTTACCATCTCCCATAGAAGAAACTCGTCCTGGATCAGGAAACTGTTGCATCAATAATTAGACATCAACACAAATCAAGACAAACACCCTAAGCAGGCATACACACTTGAATGAATAAATGAATAACAATTAATAATTATCATTTGAAATATTCACCTCAAAAAACACTTCTCTGTAATGTTCATTAATCGGTTTAACTAACAGAAGAACAAATGAGTATAGTGGTTAGGCTTACATGAGGGAATCCTGTACCTCCTACCAGAGTTCGTCAATGTACAAATTACCTCGGGGAGAGAGGGTTATTGTTTCAGTGTTTTTTCCCCCCCAGCGTTTTAATGTTATTTAAAAACATTTTCAGCTTTAGCCTTTACTGCATTTCAAAACAAGCTGCTGATGCCATGACATAAGAGTTTCTTCCCAGCCACCAATGCCACGAGTCTCCGGACCAAATGAAGACACTGATGGCTTTTCATAGATGCATTTTCCACATGTATAGTCCGAGTAAGTGCACTATGAATGCGTATACCTAGACCAGGGATCTCAAACTCACAGCCCAGTGGCCACTTTCAGCCTGTATATTGACGTGAAGAAATATAATGCAATTTGGCCCTTGAAATTCCTTTTTTGTTAGGGAGGATTTGTTTGTTGTTGAGTGCAATGTTAAAACAAGTTCTTTAAAAAGCAAAAAATTATTTAATACGAAGGCAAAATGAGCAGAGTATAAACATGTTGAGGGATTGGCTGTGAGTGTTTCAGTGAGAGAATTATTTGTAAAGAAAACCATTTTCACTAGCACTCAAAAACTATTGTGTACACTTATGTCTATATTTTATTGTGTTAAATACAAACAAAATATTAGCAGACGTGCTGTCACGTGTCTGGCCAGAAAGAGTGCCAATCTTTTTATTTGGTAGTTTAATAAAAGGCTTCATTTGGAAGTTAGAAAAAAATTGTGTTTACTTGTGCAGTTTTGTTTTGTTATACAATATCTGAAATTAAAAAACAACAACAACAAAACTACATTTTTTTTAAGTATTTTGTGGGCGTTTTCTTGTTTGTTTGTTAGGGTTTTTTTGTAATACTTGAAGACTAAAGTGGTCCTCCAAGGAGATGAAAGTGCTAGCAGTGGTCCATAGCTGCCCTAAACACAACCTGTGTAATGGAAACACTTCAGCTGGCTGTGCCCACCTCTACTGATGGCTTTCCTTTTGTAGAATAGGTCATAGATGTATCGACTCCGCTGATGATGCAGCCTGAAAATGGGCCAGAGGGACTCCACCTTTCGCTTCCCCTCGTGCGGCTCAGTTTCAGCTAGAACACAGAACAAGATTCAGGATGGTTAGCTTTGATACCAGGAGCATGACATCACAAGGACTACCTGCCTTGGGGAACTGATACAATGCAATGTATTAATGTGGTGAACCCGCACAGGATTTTGGCACCTGTAAGCAGAAATATGATGGGCCAGGTGAGCTTCCCATTTCTTCCCAGTTACCGGATGTAGCTGATGTGAACAGGAAATCCAGGAAAACCACTGCCCGCGCCCCCACCCCACCTCACCCCAATTTTTTTTTACTGTGGGTACATCACATAACTCAGGTGAGAGCCAACTTGTGTTTCAAATATAAACATGTACTGAAACTGAATAACCCGAATCCATCAGTGTGGGGAGACCATGCTGCTTCACAGTGTCATACACAGGACTCACTTTGCGCATACAGCCCCACGGCCGATCACCCCGAGAAACTTCCCTGGCCTACCTTCTCTCATTTTCTGATCCAGCTCGTCCAAAGTGGGCTCAATGAGCTCCCAGCCGTCTGGGGGAGGCTTTCGACTCCTCTTTACTTTTGGCATTTTGTCTCTGTTTAGCTAAAAATGCAACAAAATGCTCTAAGTATTTTCCTGTTTGTCTTACGAGCCCCTCTCAGGCGCGTATATATGACGTCACATGCGGGGGTTGATTAAAAGGCCTTCCGTCTCTCGAACGACGTCATTGCGCGAAACTTAAGATAACCTCTTTATAAAGGCGTTAAGTAACTTCTTAAAACTTGTCTCAGCCTAATAAACTATGCAAGTTCCCCTAAAATACTTATTTCGTACGGTTAAGTATGTTTTACTGTTGGGCCTGGTCTATTGCATCACTTTAGCAGTCTTACAAATTGCCTTACATTTAAGGGCATTATTTAGATTTCTACACTACGATAGCCAATGTTATTTGGAAAAATAACTAACACGTTTCTTGGAATATTTTATGTGTGGTTCATAGCGGCATACGGGCTTACCAAAAAACCCCACGTGTTCACTATTTATGAACCGGCATATCCTTGGACAACTCAAAATATACTGCTCCTTATTGCCACTGTGAGTTTAGCCAGCTGTCAGTTTGTGTCGCTGCCGTCACATTTATGTTTTCTGTCAGTGTTCACTGGTTAGGGACTTTATAGTAAAGACTTAGTTTGTTAAAATGCCAAAAGGAGGTAAGAGTGACTCTAAAAGTTGTTTGAATGGACTGAAATCATTTTTGTATGTTTGTTTGTCCGCTGTTAGCCACCCGATCGACATGTACTGCTGGGGCGGCATTCTAACTCGCATAACTACGCTCTGAATGATGTTTCAGCATTAAGCAGGCCTGTGCCAGCATGTCTATAAACTGCTCAGATTCATCTGATGCCTGTCTGCCCGCTCTTTCTTTCGTGCTCTGTACAAAATGCGATCATATCTGTGTTTTTCGTCATCCTTCCAGGTAAGAAAGGTGGCCACAAGGGTCGGATGCGGACGTACACCAGCCCCGAAGAGATAGATGCCCAGATGAAGGCAGAAAAGGAGAGGAGAAAGGTTGGTGGAGTGTACACTCAGTCATGTCCCACACAAGTAGACCGGCTGGAGACTACACTTCCCACAATGCAACGCGAAAACAGCTGAAAAGAATAAAACATAGCCGGATACATTTTTGTTAGACACTCCTGATTGAAAGTTATCCTTGTTACGTCAGAGATGTCGAACATAAGGCAAGGGGGCTAGAATCGGTCCAGCAAATAATCCAGTCCGGCCCACTTTTTTCATAGGTTTTCTTATTGAAAAAGAAAAGCCAGTCCCCCCCATAACAACTCATACTGAACCAAAGTGATTAAGTAACAGCTAAACAAGTAAATGACTGAAAAGTTACAGTTTTCACCATCTGCTATAGAACCTTTTTATTTAATGAGCTACCAAAAAAAGGGAGGGGGTTATGCCATTTTACAAAAATATATCATGTAGAGAAATTGAGATGTATTGTTGAAATTGCACTTCTTTTTCTTAAAGTATCTCAGCGATTACATGATTAGTTAAACATCTTTATTATGTATTATGTAAAAAATAACAGTCATTTATGTATTGTAGCAAGAGCAAGAAGAGCAGGAGCAGGAAGGTGCAGCTCAGAATGACACAGCAGAGGAGAAGCTACCAGGTTCTGGATCAGAGGACAGCGATGATGAAGATTCCCAGGTACTGCCACAGCTTTTCCATCATGTACATAAAGGCCAATGTGTTATTTAATGTGCACACTTAAAGCACTTTTTATTATCTCAATATGTGGTTAGTGTTTGGCTTGCACTGTATGAGATGTTGGTGTTTGTCTGCAGAGGAGGAGAGCCGGTGTCGAGGGATTGATAGAAATTGAGAACCCCAACAGAGTGGCTCAGAAGTCCAAGAAGGTGACGCAGATTGAGCTGGAAGAGCCCCGGCAATTGTCAAGGAGAGAGAGGTGTGTGTCATCAGCTTGTCACCTTGTATTAGTGCCAATAGGGGACTTTACTTGAAAGTATAGTATTAAATGAAACCTTTTCAATGAGCTTATGAGATTTGGACTATTGTGGATTATGAACCTGAAGCGCAAATTGTTAACAGTTTGAGAAAAAGCTGTTTGGTACACACAAATCTAATCTGAGGTGACTATGTGTCATAAAGGCTTTTTGTGTGTAGAACATTACAGGAAAACTGAACTCCTGTCATTCCTCTAACCTTGAAACATGTTCTTCTGCACAGAGAAGAGATCGAGAAGCAGAAGGCCAAGGAGCGTTACATGAAGATGCACTTGGCCGGCAAGACAGACCAGGCCAAAGCTGACCTCGCTCGCCTCGCCATCATTAGAAAACAGAGAGAGGATGCGGCAAGAAAGAAAGAAGAGGAGAAAAAAGGTAAGTACCTCAGCTGTGCAGGCATTTCATAAGTGGTTATTTAACAGCACAGACTGAATTAAACACCAGGTGGTAAATGTTGAGTTTCCTGTGAGGAAAACTGGCAATGAAAGTGAATTCTTTACATTTATTTTCAGAAAAACTGCACTGTTATTGGCACACCTTACACCCTATTACTTTTTTTAGTGTTCAGCATTCTTTTCGATGATATCTTAAGGGCAGCTGGAGGAGTGAAAATACATACTATTTTTAATAGTATACAGTATGTATTATATATTTATTATTGTAACAGGTTTAGTTTACAATATTACATATTAAAAGGTGCTTAGGGTTAGATAAAAGCACTAATTTATTGTGTGTGATTGTAGACGGCTGTTTAAAAATGGAAAGGTGCTATAGGAGTACCAGTCCACTTTCTGTTACCTCCGAACTTGTTTTATGATGTTTTTACTCATCTTATCTCCAGTTTTCAGTTAGTAATAAATAAATTACTTTCCTCACTGACTTTCAGCAAGGAGAGGCTCTTACAATAAAGTGTTTTTTATGTTTACTAAATCAATTAAAATAATTTCTCATACTAGTCTTTGGTTGAGCATTTTGGTATGTCCTTTGTCTGCAATAGGCTGTTTTAGTGTCTCCTCCTTTAAGACAAACCTTTCTCTTGATTGGCTGTCCCGCCCAACCAGCAGGCTTGAAACATCAGGTGGGCGAGGCTTCTGTGTTCACGCCAGAGCCATCTTCCTGAAATGACTATGTTCAGGATCTCTGCTCTAATTAATGTCATACAGAGTCAACAGTAGAAAAAAAAAACCTGTCTGACACTGAGTGTTTGGAGCAGTTTGAAGCCTGAACTTTTTTTTTTTTTTTTTTGTACCGTTGACCTTGATAACATGAGTGTCCACAGTTGATACAAAAGTCAGAAAGAGCATATTAGGTGTACTTTAATAAACTTGTTAGTGTTGATAAATCTCTCTTGTCCTGTACAGTGTGTGCATGTATTTCTGTGTGAAAGAAGTCTCCTGTTGACTCTGAGTAAAAAAATAAAACAAAACAGCACTTGTTTACACTGGCAGAACACAAAACACAGTTGAAGCTTATTACATTTTGTCGCATCCTTGTGCTAACAATATACTCACTTATTGCTGTCAAACAGACCTTTGACAATAATACCCAGTTGTTGCCATGTGTAGATACATTTCTGATAGTCAGGTCAGGCTGTGACTTGAGTCATGCACACTGAAGTTCAGAATTAAATTAAGAAAGCTGACAAAGTACTTAATCCTGCTTAGTCCACTCCAAAATAATTGTGATTCATGTGACTGATTTCCTGCTCTGAGATGGTCTATTAAGCATGTAATGATGTCTAGTCTGATTCCAGAAATGTATTGACACAATCCCAGCATTTGCAGTAGTCGTGGATTAGTAGTTAATCAATCCTAGGTCCACTACAACAACTGGTTGTTTTCATCTTGAATTTTCTCTTTGCAGCAAAAGAAGCGGCGGCGGCGGCGGCGGCGGCAGCTAGAGGAATAAACTCCCTATCTCTCAAATGATGCACAGTATCCGAAGCGTTTTCACTTGCGCATGGACTGAGGCAATATATCTTTGACTATTTTTAAAGGAAGATCTATGAAGAGTATTTGATATTTACTGTAACGTGTGACCGTCGGAGGAGACACCAGTGAAGAGGGGTTGTGTATATTTTGGCGTGGGAATAACGGCCTCGTTCCTTCCAGGAAGTAAAGCTACAATTGAAATCAAATTCACGTACATTGGGATGAACCCCTCGATATTGAACATGGTAAACTCATCATTGTACAATTTCAACTTTCCTAACTGAGTTTTGCCACTCTTTTTTGTTTGGGTTTTTTTTTCGGGGGGGGGACTTACATTGTATATAACTGACTCATGAAAATATTTCAGATTAATAAGATGAACCAGTGAAATGTGTCTGTTCATTTATTTGCTTCTTTACCGGAATGTCCTGGTGTAGAGGAGACTTTTGTAACTTCAGGTGCAAGAGTCCACATCTGGGTCCGCTGATATGGAAGTCAGCTGATATTTACTTTGTGGAGTCTGCCGATTCACTGCAGGTTTAGACAGCATTCGTTAGGTAGATTTAAAAAAACCAAATAGTTATCAGTTAATGTAACTGATAAATTAAAATGAGTAAAATATGGCTTTGGAAGTGTGGTAGTCCTTGGTATAATGCATGGAAGCATTACCTGCAACCCAATAATTAGGAGCATTTAAATCAAGATTTGACCAGTGTCCCAGATGCCACACTCATTCTATGGCATGAAAAAGCTCATGGCACGATGGGTTCAGTGCATGTATTACAAATTAAAGTTTTACCCTAACCCTTTGTTGCTATCAAATTATGTTTATTACAATAAATTAACTTGCACACAAATAGTCTCAGATAAAGAAACCATTCATCCTATCAACCTAAATTTGACTCACATGAAAAACTAAGTCCACCCTTACCCTCTTAATTCTGTTAGAAACAGTAAGTAGTGGCAAGTTCTGCTAATCAAATGAACTTGATAAACTGATCATCAGTCAGTGTGGCCACCTCCATAAAAACAGAGGTTTTGTCAGTTTGCTGGGCTGTGTGTATGTTAACGCAAACAGGACAGACCTCAGCACTGATCTCAGAGGAGGAATTGTTGTTGTACATTAATCTGGGAGCATTATAAGGTCATTTCTAAGCAATTTGAAGTCTGTCATGCTGCAGTAAGAAAGGTCATTCACGAGTTAAGAAGTGGGCCCACACAAATTCCACCACAATGATGTGAGAGACTCATAAAGACGCACAAAAGTCAAATAACATTTTACAAGCTTCAGTCAAACCACAGATGCAAAACTGTAGAAAAATACAGAACTGCGTTTAAATACACATGAGAAGATGCATCAATGAAAATATAATTTATTTCTTTGGGAGTTATACATTTATAATGAACGGAAATGACTGAAGCTATTAATCACATTTATCTATCCTTTGATCTTAACTGTGGACGATTTAATATGGAATTAATGTGATTTCTGTTAGACGTGTGTTTGTGGTGGCACCAACAGTCCAAAGTTAGATATGAGAAGTGCTATTTTACAGCTGTTCTTCATCATGGTATGCATAGATATACTCTCACTGGCCACTTCATTGGGTACATCTTTTTAGGTGCTCATTAACTTCAACTATCTAATCAGCCAATCACTTGGCAGCAAATCAGTGCTTTTGGGAATGCACTGATTTGTTGATTTTGAATTACATCAAAATGGGATAGAAAGGTGACTTAAGTGACTCAATGTGGCATCATTGTTGGTGCCAAACATGCTGGCCTGAATATTTCAGAAACTGCTGATCTGCTGGGATTCTTCCACAGACACCGGTCTATGTGAGGGACTGAGGAGTAAGGCACAAGGACAAAAGTAATGTTTGTTTTAACTGAATATAAAATTAAAAATCCAGAAAAGCAGCTACTAAACATGGCCAATGTGAGGTAAGTAAAAAAACAACAACAACCCACAACCCCTCCTATTATTAATGACTACATTTACAAGAAATAAAATTCTTTGCAAAGTTTTCCAATGCAATGTCTCCTGTTTTCAGTCCACTGTAAGATTCCTATGGTGGAAGGGGGTTAGCTGAACTGCTGCTCACTGGATATTTTCCCCTTTTCAGATCATTCTCTGTAAACTCTACATATGTTTGTGTGGGAATATCACAGCAAATCCTCAGAATAGACATTTAAAACACCTTTCTTCTCCATGCTGATGGTTACTTTGAACCTGATCTACATATCTAGAGATGCAGATGAGCTGTCATGTGATTGGCTGATTAGATTTTTTAGTTAATGAGCATGCTAATAAGTGTGCCTAATAATGTGTCCGGTGAGCTGATCTCCAGTTTTCCTCACAGTCGTCTTCATGTCTGTGCCTGTAGCACAAGGTGGCAGTAAAGAATGTAGCACGCAGGATAAAAAGCAAACGAAGAAGAAGCGATGCGCTGATTGGTGGGAAGTTTGGCGGACTTTACCCTCCGCTGAGAAGCAGATATTACTGTTGGCGCTCAGGGGCTCGAACTTCAGCTCAGTGTCCGGCTGACAGCGCGGGAGTCTCCACAGACGGTGAGCTGGTTAAAGTTTCACACACAGAGGACGGTAATGTTAATGCGAGCAGGGAGAAAATATGTGGAGAAGTAAATGTGTTTTGCACTTTAACCTTCGTTAAAGCAGATTAGCTCTGCAGGTAGAAGTTTTCACGTTTTGTGTTTTTTAAACTTGATGATGTGTTCAGGGGTCCTCTCAGTTCAGGCTTAGCCAGCGTGTGCACTGAACAGCTGTTGCTGTCTTTCTGGGTCAGTCAGGAGATGTAATGAGAAGCATGCGCTGCACAGATGCATGACTGTCATGAGGAGAGACAGTCTGATAAAGATCTGGCAGCTGTGGATTTCATGGAGCAGTGAGCTTGTTATCTGGGTTACAAAATAACCAGTGATGCGGCTTATTGTGTAGTTCAGTGACCTTTTTGTTCAGTGCTATGGTTCAAAGTTTAGCCTTATCACTATAATACTGTAGCAGGGGTGGTGTGCTGCTGCATATTCACTCTTTGTCTGAGGCTTTGTGCTGCAATAATGGAGCATCTGTAGGGCCAGTTTGTCAGCAGCACTGTCTGCATGCTGTATCATCACACACAGATGTTCGTTTCTTTCAAATTGAAATTGTTTTTGTTTTTATGTCTGTGTAAAAGTCTCATCTTTTAGATTTCCACTTTGTGAGACCAAGAAAAAAACAGCAATCATGTCTTTATCTAACGCCCATCATATAAGCAAAGAAGAATGGGAATCGCACAACAAGATGCTGCTGGAGCCGCTGGCAGTCAACGACTCAGAGGTTTGTGTTTAGTGGAGGTAAAACATCAAATTACCTAATAAATGTGTACCTAATAATGGGCCTTTGAGAGTTCCCACCTAACAGAAGTGTGTGTGTGTGTGTATTCAGGTGTTCTCCATTATTAAAAAAGAGAAGCACAGGCAGACGTACGGTTTGGAGCTGATAGCATCTGAGAACTTTGCCAGCAGAGCTGTTCTTGAAGCGCTGGGTTCCTGTATGAACAACAAATACTCCGAGGGCTATCCTGGCCAGAGGTACAATCTAGTTAAAATCCCAACTGGCTCAATCTCATTAGTGTGGCATTAACATTATGAACATTATTTGTAATGGTGAGCATGATTCATGTGTACAGGTACTACGGTGGTACGGAGCATATCGATGAGCTAGAAAGACTTTGTCAGAAGAGAGCACTGGAGGCCTACAGTCTGGACTCGGAGAAATGGGGTGTCAACGTTCAGCCATACTCTGGTATCAAATATGGATGCATTTAAATCTGAGTCTGACTACACCCGTTGGCATGCAACATCTGCTGTGCTCCTGTCACTTACTGTCATACCGTTTGTGCTTCTCTGTAAGGGTCACCTGCAAACTTCGCCGTCTACACGGCTGTTGTGGAGCCCCACGGCAGGATCATGGGGCTGGATCTTCCAGATGGAGGTCACCTGACGCACGGCTTCATGACTGAGAAGAAAAAAATCTCGGCAACCTCAATCTTCTTTGAGTCCATGCCATACAAGGTATGTATGCGCACGTATGGTCGGGAACCAAAAGGCTCTGTCGGAGTTGGGAACAAATTTCTCAAAGATGCGATGTGCTCTGGTATTTCCTCACGACAGCTGGGACAAATCACAGAATCAAGGCGGTTATTTGAGTTACTGTTCCCTTCCTATCAGCTCAAAGCAGTTTGGCCATTCTTCTCTGACAGTGACAGGGCTTTTTCATCAGAGAACTGCCGCTCACTCAGCAGTTTCTGAAACACTCAGACCAACATCTTTTTGTCCCCATTCTAATGCTCAATCTGAACTTCAGCATGTCACGCTGATCATGTCTACATACTTAAATTCATTCAATTAAAGTCATAAGATCGGCTGACTAGATATTGCTGTTTAAGGTGGTGTATAAGGTCAAAGATAAGATTTTTGGAAACAAAAAGCACTAGAAATCACCTCGTGGTGGGAGCACACCATCTGTAACACCAGTGAGTACTTCAGACTCAATGAACTACACATCTGTGAAGTTTGACTGAATCTCCCACGGGTTGTGATGCCATCCATGCTGAAAAAAAATATCGTCAGATTCATTAAAATTGACCAGTATCTGCTGTGACTGTCTACGTTTGTAAATGTGGACAAAATCAAAACGACTGATTTCACTTTGGTTCAAGTTTTATCCAAAGTCCAACTATGTGGTGTTGTCCTCATCTTGTGTATAGCAGGTGTTATATTTTGGTTATGATGTGGTCTGCTGCTTCTCTGTCCAGGTCCATCCAGAGACTGGCTACATCGACTATGACAGGCTGCAGGAAAATGCACGACTCTTCCACCCTAAACTCATCATCGCAGGTAGTTCATCCCTCCTATGTTTTTATCTTTTTACTTTTATGCATCAGTGAGCAGTGACTGGGAACTTTAAATCTGAGGGTATTTGTCGGGGGAAGAAAAGAAAATCTCTACACTTTGTCTTTTTTTTGTCTTTCTCAGGAACAAGCTGCTATTCTCGCAACCTTGACTATGCCCGCTTGAAGCAGATTGCTAATGAGAACGGTGCCTATCTGATGGGAGACATGGCTCACATAAGTGGATTAGTGGCTGCCGGAGTGGTGCCCTCACCCTTTGAGCATTGTGACATTGTTACCACGACGACGCACAAGACACTGCGTGGCTGCCGTGCTGGGCTTATTTTTTACAGAAAAGGTATAAAACGGACCTGAAGCTTTTTCTCCCTTTGTCTTGTTGTAAATCTGCTCTTCCCCACACTGATATCTGTGAATTCACTATTTTTATTTGACCTTCTCCTCTTTCTCGTCTTCACTCCATCTCTTCAGGAGTGCGGAA